TTAATATGTATCACAGGGAAACTATAGTTTTCTTCAATGACTCTATTTCAGATCATGATTAAAACTTTAGATAGTACAAAAGAAGGACTATTAAAACGATGTTCAAACTTGCTACAAATATGTTACTATTAGAGTTCATAGAGAGTTTTAGACCATACCCTTCCTAAAATAATGAAAGAAGGGTGAATATATGAAGCCAATAAATTCTTTCTTCACATTTATAATTTTCCGATGAAATGAGCCTATACTGACATACGAATGTAGCTCAGCTTCTGCCTTCTGTATGAAGAAGGTATTATCAAGGTGGATGTGAAACCCAATCTAGAGTTTGATTGTTTTTTCCTATTCCATTAGATAATTACAATATGGCACTCCAGGCAACAATTCAGACTGCTAGTTTGTAGATGTTTTGCTGTTGATTTCTGCTCGTGGATTGGAAACTACACATAATCCAATGTATACAAATCTATCCCATCATTTTTTTGAGAAATAGCTTTCTCCTTCTCTTTTAAAAACCTCTAATATTTTGTTTAATTTTATTCTTCAAAGTTAGGTCCTGTGGAAAGATACTAAGGTAAGATACAGATAAAATATATAAGGCAAAATTACATAAAATATCAGAATTACCTCCAGGGACACAGACAAGCAAGCAGGAAAAATACAAATTCTGATTATAAAAAAGTAATATCAGGAAGTAAATAAGCTGGGAAAGGAAGGTTTTAAATTGTTTTCTCTGTGAATTTCTAAAAGGTGTAAGGAAGAGAAAAAGAAATGATCTTGGGCTCTTAGAAAATAAATGTTTAAGTCTAAGTGAAAGAATAAAAATCATTCCTGAGGTTTTTGCCACAAGTTGCAACAGTCCAAACATACAAATAACTAAATAAAATGTATATTACTTCATGTTAAATTCTAAGGTTGGACAATTTGCATATTGATCATGCAAAAGCGAGGCTGATAGTATGAAAAGTTGGAAGCAATGCAGAGAGAATGAGTGGAATGATTTAGACATGGTAGTTTGTATAAATATAGATAATCCTCTAAATGCTGCTGATGCACTGATAAAAACAAATTTGTCAGTGGATGATCTTATTAAAGTGCCCGTTTTATGCCTATTAAATTTCCATAAGTATAGTCTATAGTGCTTAATAAAAATATATGTAGCTGTCATGTAAGACCTCATTCACAAAAATATATAACACTCAAAAAATACAATAATAAAAAATAAATAGTGCTACAGACTGATAGTTGCCTCATAAGGGAAGAAAGAGAAATGTGATTACAAAAGTGAGTAATGGAATTTTCATTATATTTTGTCATGTTTTCTTTCCTAAGCTTGATGAAGAATATATGGAAATTTGTGATTTTCATAGTTATAAAATATTCCATATGTCTGAAATTTGATAAATTTGAAAAGAAAATCCCTATTCTCTACAGAATAGTAATCCATTAATTATATTTGTGCTTAGGAAGAAAAAATGTGGCTGTTAATAAATACATTCTGATAGTTTTATCTGTCTATCATTGCATATCAAACGACCTCAAAACTTAGAAGTATAAACAAACATTTTCTTTGCACCATATGTCTTCATGCTCCTCCATGTGGTTTTTTAACTTATGCTGTATATTTGAGCATCCTTACAGCATGATTCCCATGTGGAGGTTGAATGTCTTAAAAGGTGACATTTTTCTAGATGATACAATGTAAGTGGAGCAGTTTGGAGCTGCAGATATCTTAATGTCCACTATCGTAAAATAATTGTCACATATGCCTCATACTGTGGGAGTGCTCAGATTCCCCAGGAAGAGAAATATGCTTTCATTCTGGATGTGGGCACGACATTTTTATACTACAAAAGAATAGGTGTAATGGGAATTATTACTGCTGTTAACTTTAGCAACTCACTGGGATGTGGAATTATGAGAAATATCTTATTGCATTTTAAAATTTTTACTTCTCAGTAATCCTCAATTTGCAGTAATGTAAGAATGACTGTATATACAAAGATTAACAGGCAATTTAGGTAGCAAAAAGTAAAATCTCACCTGGGAAATAATATTAACAGTAGGTTAGTATAGGTTTCAAAATATTTATTTGGGTATAGCTATCAAATGTTCATAAACATGATTTTATATATTACTTTTTAAGCAAAAAGTCAAATTTTAAAACCACACGCAAATATCCACACAAAGCTTTTCTCTTCACTGCATATCTTCACCAACTCTTATGTATCCTTCTAGAGTTTGCAGGTAACTTTCTAAATTATTGGATAATCCATTTCCTGACTTTTCATTTAAGCCTTAACTCACCTCAAATTACCTTTTGCTATCCTCACTACATAAAGCTGCTTTATTTAAAGATCATTAAATATTTAAGGAAAACACATACTGTTAAATGAAAGGATAGTAACTCAACTAACAGAAAAAAACATACACAGAAAAAAGTAGTTAATGCAACTACACTTGCAGGAACTTAAAAATAATACCAATATAATATGTGCATGGGATTAAAATAGAAAGTTCCTATAAAATATGGCATTAATTGTCTGCAGAGTAGTAGCAATGGTGGTTAAAATAAATATCAGGGACCCATGTGGTGAGTCCGCAATTTCCTACGAGGTGTTACAAGGCATGGTGGAAAGAAAGAGCAAGAGAGAAAATGATATTGCAACAAGAGACTGGGATGACCAGCTGTTCACTAGCAGATAAAGGCCAGGATATAGCCAGAACCTCAGCATTTAGTCATTGTGGAAAATGGTGAAGGGATTATCTGGTGATTTAGAAGGTGGTGGTAGTCTAATTCTAGCAAATGTCTTTATGTTAATGAGGACAATGGGGGAGAGATGGCAGGTTACCAAGGAGATTCTGCATTCCAATCTGGGTCAAAAATCAGGACAAAGAAGGCCTGGGATATTCCCTAGTCTCAATTTATAATCTATAGTACCCCAACAGATAAATATGTGTACTGTGTATATATATACATGCATCATCATATATGCTTATATTCATATACATGTATAATCTTTCTTTTGCAAATTCCAAGTTTATGTGCTTTTTGTAATTTAATGTATGCTTTTACTTTTTCTTATTGATTGAAAATATATTTGTATTAATGCAATTGCCAAATATATGCAAACAAATACCTATGGTCATTGATTTTAAACATTATTTTCTGTTCCTTTCAGACATTTTAAAATTTGCAGGCATTTTGTTGCCTTTTTTCATATTTCTGTGTGTGTGTGTGTGTGTTGAGCTTTACAACTTGATTGTATTGGAAGGCAATGTTTCTATAAATAGATACATATGAATTACTAAAGCTGAAACAAGATTTTAAATCCTTGAAAATATCCAATAACGGGCAATGAAATTAAAGTTATAATAAAAACAAATCTACCACCTAAGAAAACCTCATGTCTGGATGACAGCAGTGCTGAATTTTCCAAAACTTTCAGGGAAGATTTAACACCAACAGTCCTCAAACTTTTTAAGGAAATTGAAAGGGAAGGCGTACTCCCAAATCATTCCTGGAAATAAATATTATTCTAATTCGAAAACCATACGAGGAACTAATGGGCAATCTCTTTTATGAATGTAGATGCAAAAATCACTAAAAGATTCTTTCAAACATAATGCAGTGAATCAATAAAAAGATCATACATCATGACTATGGCTGCAAGGACGGTTCAACATATGCAAATCAATAACTGTAGTCCATCACATAAACAAAAGCAAGGGCAAAAATCACAAGATCATAACAATAGATGCAGAAAAAGCCTTTGGCAAAGCCTAACATCCTTTCATGATATAAACACTGAAGATAGTAGGAATAGAAGAACCTTATCCTAATCTAATAAATAACCATTTATGACAAGCCTACCGGCAACAATATATTGAACTGGGTAAAATTGAAAGCTTTCCTTCTAAAGTTAGAAAAAGACAAGGATGTCTACTATCACCACTCCTCAACACAGAAAGATATTAACAAGAGAAATTTGTCAAAAAAGTGGAAATGTATAGGGAAAGAAGTCAAATTATCATTTTTGGCTGAGTATGATCCTCTACAGAAAAGATACAGAAGCATCCACCAAAAGGCTTATAATTAATAGATAAGGGCAGTAATGCAGCAGGATGCAAAATTAACACAGAACACTCAAAAAGTATTTGTTTACCATAATAATGAATCCACTGAAAAAGAAACTAAGAAAAACTGTCATTCATAATACCATCAAAAATTAATCCTTAAGAATTAATCTATCTAAGGAAGTGAATGACCTCTACAGTGAAAACTACAGTACTGTGAAAAAGGAAATTGAAAATAACATCAGACAAAGAAAAGATTCCTGGATAGACAAAATAGCGTCAAAATGGCCATACTTACAAAACTGAAATACAGATTTACTGCAATTCTAATCAAAATAACAAGAGCATTCTTCACAAAAATGGAGAATACAATCCTAAGACTCTTATGGAATCAGAAAAGACCTAGAATAGCAAAAGCCATCCTGAGGAACCAAAGCAAAGTGAGAGGCATCAAAACCTTTTGGGTTTTATTTACTCTTTCAGGTTCTTACACTAGGGAGACAATACAATGTGTACACATGTGGGTCTGATTTATTTCACTTGTGAGTGTGGTATCTGAGAAACTAATTTGAAGACAACAATATGCACTATAATAACCTTTGGTGAACTCCTTCCATCTTGTTTAGTGAAGCTCTGTATCATTTCTAATGTTTTTAGATTATTTTTTATCCTCTTTAATGGTTTGATCAATCTTGCATTCTTACATCTGGTAATCTGCAAACATGTACTGATATTTTTTTTAATTGTCAGGAGTGTGAGTTTAGATCATCAGATTCCAGGCAGATTTTCAAATGACTAACCATTTTATCAGCAGCACTTTACCACTGAGGCCAGTCCTCATGGATAAACTTCACAATGAAAAGAGAAGGAGAGAAATGGTTGGCATTTTGAACCACTAAGTTTTAAAATGATTTGTTTTGCAGCAATAGGTAATTGATAACAAGGATCGATAACTACCATTGGAGTGTTACCATCACGAAATACTTGAAATGTTTAATGGGCTTGACCCTACATTAGTGGCAAGAGGACGCTCGAACAGTGTATTGCTTCATCAGACTCTGAGGCCAAATGCTGTAAGTACCAATTGGGAACTGCTAGTTCATACGCATAAGTAGTAGAACGAAGATGAGGTAAAAAGAAGTAGCTATACGGAAAGCAACTGAATTGTTGCCATTTTACGTTTTTACTGGCCCCAGTTGATAAAGTTTCTTAAAGTATAAATACTCTCTATATTAAAGTAATGCTTATTTTAATCTTTATTTTTCCTTTATGTATATAATACACACTAACTCGGAGCTGTAGTCCACAAATACGCATATTTTACTTAATTCGTATAATATCAACTTTAGGATATTTAAAACTTAAGTATTAAAACTTAAGTAAAATTGAAAAATAACGTGATTGATTTATTTCCTAAATTCGTATTTATTCAGAGACTTAATGAAAATGCTTTATCTCACAATAATTTATTTATAAATATTGGACCATGCAAAAGAATTTTTGGAAGAAGAAATAAAAACCAGTACATGTACATAATAGCATAATATGTTTTTTTATATTACTATAGGTCAATTCTATCTCATCAAAGAGAGCTGAAAATCTCTCTTCTACCAAGCAATTTTAATGTAACTGAGGGAGGGCAACTTGGGAAGAAAAGCCAAGTGTTGACATAAGCAATTAATCAGGTTGCTCTCTTTTAGTATTTTAATGGATGAAATTAAACTTTTTAAAAACTGTGTAGGTCACATAATGGCACGTAACGTCTTCAGCTTGGTGAAAACAACGCCAGGAGGAATAAATACATAACGGACTGCCCTCAAAAGTTTCTCAACTTTCCCAGCTTACCTACAGCTGTATCTGTCTAATGCACCTTAGAATGTAAAAGCAGATAGATATTTTGGTTTTCTATCTTACATTATTTTGTCATGGAAAGGCAAAGGCAATCTACCTTTATCCACCTAGGTTATATTAAGAAACAATAACTAATGATGCCATTATGCTTACTTCTATTGATGTTAGTACAATAATAGCAACAATATTAGATATAACATTAATTTCAATATTATTAAAATCTTCTATAAAGATGAAGAAGAATACAACTATTATATCACAGTGACATTCAGTAATATTTTACTATCCATAGGAAAATGATGTGAAATGCTTGCCCATCCATAACAAAAAACTGACAAGCAAAAGCTGGACAAATAAATTGAAGACAACAATATGCAATGTAACAACCACTGATGAATTCCTACCATCTTGTGTAGGGAAGTTCTGTATCACTTTTAATGTTTTTTAAATAATTATTATTCTCTTTAATTGTTTGATCAATCTTGCATTTTTACAACTGGTAATCTGAGCAACTTCGTTGAAGATAACAGTATGTAATATAACACCATTGTTAATTTCCTATCATCTGGTTTCAAAATCCTGCGTTGTTTTTATTGTTTTTGTATTGTTTTGTTTTTGTCTTTGTTGTTCTTATGTTATTGCTCTTTTGTCTTTAAAAAAAAACAAAGAGAAAAAGCTGGACAAATTTAGAAATAATTTACCAAGAGAATCCTATAGGTACTTGTTCTTGATTTTGCATAAGAAAACAAAAGTAATAGTTAACTGACCAGCAAGAATAATAAGAAATTCTGGACAACAGCTCATGGTGGGCACAGACATATAACCTCTGGGAGCTTGAGGCAGAAAGATCATAAGTTCAAGCTCAGCCTAATTCCGAATACGAGGGAAAGATAATTCACTTCCTGGAGTTGAAGGTGCTGATTATTTCTAAATAGAGTAATGAAATTTATACTGTATTCATTAGCACCAGAAAAACTTGGTACAAAAGTGTAAAATCTTATCCTATGTAGTGAAATTTACTGGGAACCTGCCTTTGAAGCAGAACTTCCATGGTTTTGCTCACTATTGAAAACTTCATGTCTTAGATAAAAATGCTTCACTACCCACTTCCTCCAATAAATGATTCTCTGCAAAGAATACCTAAAGAGATTTGGGAATAAAAGTATATATTTAAGCAATGATTTTATCTTCTAGTAAGAGAAATTTCCAATAACATCAGGAATAAAATTATTTCAGATTCTATGGTGGTGACCTCTCTTGGAATGCTAATGTGAAAATAAGAGACCTAATCTTGTTGGTTGAGTTCCATGTGGCGAGAGAATAGGCACGGTTAGCAGGGACTTCCCAGAAAATTTGTGACTGAAGAAAAACATAATACTTCATTGTAAAGGTTAATACTATAGTGTAGGATTTGTAAAAAAAGGAAATAGTGGAAGCAAGGAAGGACAAAAACACATAAGGGGTGATATTGGTGGGGTAGTCACAAAATTTTACCATGTGTACCTGATGGCTTGAGTCCTTGAAAGGATGTTCATCTCTGGTTTATAACTACTAGGGTGGGAAGGGAGAATAACTTATATATCGCTTGCGTCTCCCATGATTAAATACCACCACATAGGGCATCAGCTTCACTGTACTACTTGTTTTCACCATCACCTTTATTTAGGTCAGAGAAGCCAGATTGTAAGACAGTAGTGGCTGCCCTCATGGCGAGGTGATGACAAAACTCAGTAAATCTTCCTCCAGTGCAGATGGAAAATGCTCCTTTGTGGCTTACAAGCATGATTGGTGGCATTCACTCTTTCTGGAGGGTCATCAGAATAACAAGCAGAAAACCCATGCCCGGTGAATTTAGGCAAGTGTATAAATCTGCCCAGTACAAATACTAATCAAAAGTCAAAGACGTTAGCTAGGCATGGTAGTGCACGCCTGTAAGCCCAGCACTCAGGAGGCTAAAGCAAAAGGATCACCACAAGTTTGATGTCAGTCTGGGCTGCACAGTGAGTTCAAGGCCAGCCTGAACTACATAGCAAGACCCTGTCTCAAAAAAAAGAACTGAAGGTGTCTGTATATGTATTTCTGGCGCAGAGGGTGATGGAAGCATCTCTGAAGCAGTATTCCTTATGCTGACTGGGAGGTGAATTTATAGATTTATGGAATGAACTTTTTTTTTGTTCTTGGGTTGGAATCTTCTGGAAAAGCTCCGTGATGAAGTGCCATACTTTCTCTGAAGAAATTCTAACAAGGAAAAATAAAAAGGTTCATCTCAAGAAATATGTTCTGTCACTGACTTTGGAACTCAGTCTCCACCAATTTGTTCAAGAGCAAAGAATGTGGTTAACTAAGTTAGAACAAGTAGCGTCTCAAATCTCTTTGATATAAATCATCAACTGATAGACATTCTAGTAGTGTGCATGTTAGGGTAGACTCTAAAGTAGGCATATCCCTGAGGTCCTCATGATTTGTACCATTGAAAGACTCAGGTCTGTGTTTTCCAAAGTTGATGGCTCACTCTACACTTAATCAAAGTTCTTTAGCTACTGTGCCTGGGACTCCTAAGTTTAGTTTTCAATCATAAATGTGACTATATAGAGACCATAATATATTGATATCTTTAGCAACCACTGAAAGATTAAAGGACTTTGCCTAGATTCATATTTTGATGTACTCTGCTAATATTTTCTATAGGTTAAACTTCTCCTAAATCATCAATCCAGAACAGAGGTACCCAAGCGAAAACATTTGAAAATACAAAGAAAGCCTAAATACATAAGTGGGAGGGGATATGAGTATTGCACTTGATCTTAGACAAAAGGCCAAGAAGCGATATGGTGTGAGCATTGCAAGCTAATAAATTTTTGTAACTTGTTTTCATCACTCAGAGAGGGTTGGGAAATGAGAATACAAATGGAGGATCTCATACAACTGACTTCTAAGATATTAAACCTGGAGCTATATCGAGTCAAGAATCTTTATTACACTTAAAATTTGTACAGCAAAACACTAGACACAGTACAGCTATCTGATCAACATAATAATTATAAAAATGAAGCATGAGTATACCTCACTCACTGAATAAATTCATTGAATTTATTTAATTTTAAATAAAATTAAGATGTATTTTGGACTCATATATTATTATAATGCTATTAATTGATTATCCACCTATAAACAATATTTCTTAATGAGCACTTATGAAACAACTGAGATATATGTGTAAGCATAACATATGCTTTTAAAAGGTTCATGCTTTAAATGATTAGGGATATTATACAGTAATTGCTTAGAGGTGACTCATAATTTTATAATAATTGTTATTTTCACCAATTGTTGATTATCTTATATTGGCTCATACATTCAATATGTTCAGTTTGTCTGATTTTGCAAGGAGCAATATGCACAAATACGTTTATATTTAATTCAAAATTGTGTCCAAAATAAAATATGTATGAATAAATGCATTTACATTAAAGGGTATAAAATATTATAGCATGTGTGTCTTTGACTATTCGCTATACTAAAATATAAGAGACTTAATCACAAACTTATCATGAGTGCTCATTTCCATAACCACCAAATAATGTTCAAAAAGCCTTTATTGGCCACTACTTGAAATATTCAT